CAGTCCAACAGTAGCCGGCAGCTCGGTCTGCAATGGCCGCAAGTCTTGCAGTTGAGCGATACCACTTGGTCTGTAGACTGTGGCTTTTTCAAGTGATGTCGCTGGAGTCAGAGACGTCCTCGGGCTCTCCCCAGCCCCGGCTCGAGCAACGCCTGCCCACACCTTCCCAGGAGGAGTCCTAGAACCCTAAACCCTAAACCCTAAACCCTAAACCCTAAACCCTAAACAGGAGCTCGGAGCCGAAGCTCAGTTGCCCGGGCCCGGCGAGAAGGAGAAGCTCGCAGCGAGGGAGCTGACGGCTGGAGCCAAGCTTTTCAGACTTCTGAACGGCCCGAAGCCCTTGCTGGCCAAAGGCCATTGTACAGTCTGCCGAAAAGCTCAGCCTTCGATGAAGCTGCGAGGACACTCCTGTCGGAGATGTCTGCGTCTCTTCAAGCCCTGCAGGAGGCTCCATGCTTGAGAGGGCAGGGACGCCGTACTGCCACAGGAGCGTACGTTGCGAAGCTTAGTCCGGACAGAAGTCTCCTTCGGCCCTCACCGTCAGATTCGCGCAATTGCAGAAAGGGTTGAGGAAGAATCTTGCTTGAACGTCGCAGCGTTTGCGGCAACAGTGCAGACATGCGAGTCTCAGCTGCCCAGGCCTTGCAACATTGTCTGTCGAACCTGACATGTATCGTGAAGTCTTGAAAGACATGCTCTCCACGCCCGGCTCAAATGCCAGTTGCTGGCCAGGAGCCTTTGATGTCATGAAACTCGACAAGTCTTGCAGTAGTCTTGCAGCTGGGCATGCGCAACCTCGACTTTCTACGGCCGAAGTGGCAGCTGTGAGAGATCCGGTGCAACCACAAACTATGCCAGCAAGAGTGTAGCGCATGCGCATTCCGGCATGCTATGGAGGACCCCCGGCCACTGACAAAGTGAGCTCCGTGCTGTTAAGCCCTGTCATCCGGCACGGTGTGCGAGGATGCTGAAACCAAAGGTGCCGACGGTGCCGACGGCGACGGTGAGCAAGGCGCGGCCGTTTCAAGATCGATATGGCAAATTGCACTGTTGGACCCAAAGGTGATGGGAAGAAGCGCGTCAAGCGCAAGATAGCGATTGTTGTTGGTTTCATCGGCACGAGGTGTCGTGATTACAGCTTCAGACCTTTGTGTTGTCGTAAGCTTCAGCCAGGTACCGTGGTCTGATGATCAATCCAGAGGTGGAGCCAACGGCAACGAAGAAATCCGTGGAGGCTCGGTACGGTACAGTGTGGTAGAGTCAAGCCAGAGGTTCGGAAACGCTTTCGGTCGTAGGAGCTTCTGCGGGTTGCCATGGTGAAAGCTGGCATCGTCAGTGACATCAATTCTCAGAAGCTGGAGCAGAAGGCAGACTCTTCACACCAAAATGGCATCGGGTGAGCCTACCGGACAATCGGCAGGTTGGCTGGAGCCGCTCCAGTTGAACAGATGCTGGGGTCGGCTGCCCGAGCATTGACGGTCATGACTTCTGCAAATCGTGTGCAGCGTTTCGTGCTTTGGGCGGTTGGGGATGTCGACGAGGGGTTTGCGCTCAGGATTTTCTAGACGGCGCATGACGGCGCTTTTTTCTGCGTTTGAATTGCGCATGAGGCTGCAAGTCTTTATCCACTCGGAGCGACGTGTGTGGAAGGTCAGCGCGCTCCGCCTGGTGATTTCGGCAAGGCTCTGCGCGGAGCCCGGGAGCATCGACGATGTGTTCAGCCGAGGCTCCTTCGCGGCAGCAAACTGTCACAAGCGAAAGACTTTGCAACTCTTTGCTGCGCCAGCGCTGGACCAGATCAACCTGGGCCTGTTGCGAGCTGAAGATCCAGAAACTCTAAACCCTAAACCCTAAACCCTAAACCCTAAACCCTAAACCCTAAGCCCTAAACCCTAAACCCTTCGCTTCTGTCTTCTCAGCCTCAGCCTCTGAGGCCTGAAGACATCCGAGTAAGGGCTACGCGGGGCTGCAATGTCTCCCCTGTGGCCCCTAATTAGGGCAGTGCGGCTGATT